CAGTGGTGCTCAGTTGCGTATTCAGTGGGTCTTGACTTTCTCGACTCGGGCAGCAAACCTAAGAGTAATGCCGATGTGTTTGTGTGATAGCAGCAGTGTGCCAACCATGGCGTTTGATCCCATAGGGAGGGCGGCCCCAGCACACTTGTAAATATCCAAGTTTAGTGGCCGGATGAGATGGTGAGATTTTTGTGTTAGTGGTATTGAATTCCAATCTGGCCCTCCTAAATCTGGGGGTGGAGAGTGCGGTCAGGGAAATATTGTAGTTGCGAGCTTGCATCTCCATTGAGATCTAAAATGTTTTTTCCACAGTGCCCTGGCTAACGGTGTCTGGCAGGTTTACGGTAAGTTATCGTACTGGATCGTGATGCATCGTATCGTACTGTGGGAGACTGTTCCGGTAAGGTGCTGAGAGGGGCATTTTCGGGAGCCACGGGAAAGGAGCGACTGGGTGTGAACGCACTATACGCACTATTCGAGTCCATGGGCAGTCCACGCACTTTTGACGTAAGCTATGATGTGCCCGATTAGGTCCTGGGGGCTCTCCCCTTTCTCCCCGGTTTCATCTGGATGCTCTTGGGTCATAAGAAGAGACCCGGCGATCACTTCAAGAGGTCTTGGTAGAAAGACAGAGCTATGATATTACAATCTTGGTAATAGTGCTGCGGGAGGTATGTAAAGGGTTCGGTGGTGAGGCTTGGTGGAGGGGGACTCTTACTGCACCAGAACCCGGAACATCTTAGCTGCTTTCACGTTTGGAATCTGAATTTGTCTCATTGCCCATGATAGAGGTAGGATGGGAGTGCGATAAATGTCGGGTTTCTTCTCCAAGGTTGACGGAAGCTTCGGCCAGCTCTGCCGAACGGAACCGGGTAGCTTTGCAGCGAATCTTTGTTCCCGGAAATGTTGCGGAGTTAAGCGGCTTGTGGGTGTCACTACCCTAATCGAAGTTATGCTAGTACTAGTCATCCAACCTTTCCTTATATTCTCCCTAACATGACCTTTTCCATAATGGTAATGGCCATGGGATCATAATTTGTGGGGAGAATCGTGTAGGGAGAATCGTGTGGGGAAAATGAAACAAATAAATCGAGAACGCTGTGGAAGAAGTAGGGAGGAAGGGACCTATAAAAAAAGGAAGTGATTTTAATGCTCCCTCCCTGGAAATGTGTACCTATCCGTTTCAGAGAGCCAGAATGGGAGACTACTCCGGTAAGGTGTTGAGCGGAGCTCTCTGTCTTGGCGAGCGCTGTAGCACAGGGATCCACAAAAATAGGACAGGTATTGATTGCCCACAGCTCGGAAGTTATCGGCGTTGTTGGCCGTAATGTACCCGCAAGCCATGGGTGCTCCACTCTACTCTATGTGAACTTGCTCTTCAAACCCTAGGAGGGGCTTTACAAACTTTACAAAGCCAGTTGGCTATTATCCGATCGCCCTGAAAAAGGCGCTATTATTTCCTCCTGTGGCAGATTTTGAGGCATAATAATCCCAGTAGCAAAGTGTTCTATCATACTGTTGGGAGCGCACATATGGTGGAGCGCAAGAACACAGTGTGTGGAGGCATGTATTATGCTTCGACTTTCTTAAAACCTGGTCCACCCAACTACATACAATCCGGCAATGAAATAAGCCCTTCAAAACAACTGATGTTGGAGTAAAAAGAGCGTGAGAGTACCTGAAATCATGATATCAGTTCTCTCTAGCTTTTTGCTTTGATATGAAAAAAGGGAAAAAAGAGTAATTGTGGGAAGAGTTTGTATGAGGATGAAAGATGTACTGAAGAATTCAGTGGAGCGGTCTGCGATAAGAGATGAGAAGATGGGGCTCAAATAAAACAATAGAGCTTAGTCAGAGAGGTGGGAAGGATAATATGGTTGATATCATATACTCTGGAGGGTCAGGTCCTGGCCCCGGCAGCTCCGGTCGCTTTGAGATGTGTTTCATCACTGGTCCACACTTTAAGTCGATTGCGCTATATATGGGGGATGTGTTAGTCGAGGTATACATTTGAGTGAGGCTAGGAAGTGCAGATGGTGTGAGGGTTTACCCTCTTGTGATGTCTTCCCATCATAGCTGGCCACCTTCCATAGAAAGAATAGCACACATATCTATACCTCCGAACCACCACGCAACTGTGCGAGTCCAGCATCGCCATCGGGGGTAGCTTTGCACGACGTTATGAATGGTTCATAGTTTGAACGGTTTTTAGCTTGCTTTATTTATATCACCGGAGGAATTTTACGCTGAGAAGTTCGTCTTCGCTGCGGCGGACGTATATTCTGGTTTTGACAACGATGTCTATAATTAAGGTTTCGTGGAACATCAAAAATAGTAGATGGTGAGAATATGACTGAATAATCGGTAGTCCGATAAAACTGAACACATGCGAGAGACATAAGCAAAACAGCCAAGACATTGCTATCTAAGATGAATTGATCGCAAGTCCAAAAATCAGCCCAATCAATAACAGCCCAAATCACACACCTGCATGGTGTACCAGAAAGACGGGGCGCACCAGACAATTGATGTTAAACTAAGGCAGTGGAAGGGGGCAAGTGCCGGGGGGAATATAACTTGGAAAATGATTGATAGATGGGGGGATGGATGAATGAACGGGCGCCGAATAACCAAGATGTGATCGTTTGTAATTTCCTTCACCTTTTTCGATCGATCCCCCAAAATTTATTTCTTTTTATAGTATGATACCTTTTTTTTTGGGAAATATTTATCTCGGGGGAGTGACAACCTCCCTAACCTGTGACCTGTTCTGGTTACGGCTAAAGGCTGTCTGTGAGTCTGGTTGGGAAATTCCTCTATAATTTATATAAAAAGAGGTTTTCTGTCCGAGTGTTTTCCTTCATCCATAGGTCGGCATATCTACATATCCACAACTTCACACGTTCGTCGATTCATTCGTTCACCTATCCATCGATTCACACAAACGGTGACATAGTGGGCAGTCTTGAAGTGCAGAATGGTGTTTGTTGAAGGTCCCAAGGAAGGGGGTATGGTGATGGAATTGGATACCTTGCCCCGGGGCATTTCGGGTATGACGTTGGCGATGGATTGCTTGCATGCCGAGAAAAACCTTGAGCGCCGCCCCACCCTAACTCGTTTTAAAATTAGGTACTGTGCAGCTCAATAGTGATCTGACTTGACAGGACCTCCATACTGGGGGCCTGTGTTCGAAGAATGCCGTTCGTTGCCGCATCGCACTGTATGCGGCTGGTACTGCACGGGGTCGAATTGTAGCTGTAAGGTGCTCGCGTTTTTTTTTGTCAAGAGTGACCCACTGCTGGGGTGGTGAAAAACTCGAGGTCTCCTCTCACTCGGGCCAAAATTCGGTAACTGGAGTTATCTTTAGCAAAGAAGAGCGGGTACGGTACTAGTAAGAAGCACTTTGCACCAAGGTTTTTGATCCCTAGCAGCTGCGTGTTCTCCTGTGAAGCCTAGAGCCGAGATCGGTATCTAATCCGTGGGTGGACCGTCGTTGACTCCGATGCTTTCCCCTACTTCTCCATTCCAAGCCCCACCGCCCCCATATCCTGTGTTTTAAATTCCCAAGTCCGCTGCGAATAAATTTTTTTTATAGCTATTACTGGCCTGGATAATGGCGTCTTTTAAGGTTATGATAAATTACCGTACAGTGTCGTATGGTTTTATAAGTTATGTATTGTCTAGACAAATGGTTCGGACCTGTAGAAAACATGAGAATGATTTCGTATGGGAGCCGTAAGCATTCGTGTGTATATGTAAGTGCTTATACATCTCTCATGCCTTGGTTGTGGGTTGCTATGATACCTGAAGTTTGTTTTCTCCTGTTCTTTTTCTTCTCTTACCCGACTAACCAACACACCTAATTTTCTTTTGTTCCTCCCTCGCTGTTTGCTCCATCCTGCATAGTCAACAAACCTACCTCCTTTCTTTCTTTCTCTCAAATCTACTCCCTGTATACAAGAAAAATACTTTTCTCTCTTTGGGCATTTACTCCCTTCGGTTCCGTAAAACCTTCACCAATTCAACCGCAATTTTTAACAGGACCCAAAAACGGGACCGAGTGAGATCTAGTGACGCCTAGCAAAAAGCACGATTCTTGGTGTTTTCAACCGCCAAATTACGGCCCCTGCCGGTTGGGCGTCTGTGACCTGGAACCAAGGGAATTTTTCCCATTTGACATCCAACCCGAAAGGATAATCATTTGAGCAACTTAGGAACACCTACTATCCGTCTTATTCCATCGCTTCCGCCCCGTGCCTTCGGACGATTCTGAGGCCCAAGCCGGCTCTTGCGGGGATGGGAAGGAGTTAACCAGAGCAGGCGGGGGTATATTTTTGCTGATTAGTCTCAAAGAACTGCTCTATAACCTTTTGACAGACCCCCCCCCGGGTTTATGTTTGGTATTATTTGAAAGAACCCGCTTCCAGTTCTTTCGAGGGTGCAGTAGCTTTTCTACTGTGCCAGGGGGAGGGGGGGGCGATGATATAAAGAAAACAAGTTTAAGAAAAGGTCTACAACAGTGTGCGTGCATTGGGCTATGTGACCCGGCCCAAGATCATGATTTATCACACACAACTCCCTGCACTTGAACTACAGGTAATATGAATGCTCAAACCAGCATCACTAGAACATTTTTTGTGGCCAGCATCCGTCAATATCTAGATATGGGTTACCTAAGTAGTGCTCGGAAAATGTGACCTGATATGATTGCTGAGTGCTAAGGACGACCCAGTCAACCCGCTCTAAACATCAACCGATTATTACCGTCTCCTGACATTGTGTTTTTCCTTTTGTTAATGCAGAGTTCGGAGTCCCACATAGTTTGTGGGTCGTATGGCACACACCAGAGCTCGCTGGTTCTTGCGTGTCGTGTTCTGTCGGATATTCTCAGACTCTGGTGTGTTCACTACTCCAACCTTATTACAGATCTATCATTCAATCATAGAGCTTGGGTTCGCTACTGGGGATTAGTTCAAAGGTGTAGGACCAGATTTCTGGATCATGTCATGCCCGTTAATTACGAGACTCCGTTTTTTTTATACCCCGCTAGTGCCCAAATAAATAACTTTAAAAATCAAGAAGAAAGTCAGTGATTGCGAAGAACAAAGGCTAGTGAGGGAACACGCAAAAACTCCTATCTACCCACCCATTTCCTGCACACTTCCATGAGATCCTTAATAGCACCATAAAATACTTGCGCCTTCCCAATGTAATTAAGAATGAATATAGTTGAAAGTCCAGGAACTCGAGAGAAAGAAACCACAACTTGTCACCAAGTCCCGATATCCTTCGCCTTGCCCTTATCCACCGCCACGATACTCCTGATTGCTCCCGGTTCCGGCCCGTCATGAATCTTGTAAACTCCCTTCTCAGGCCTGAAGCTGTGCCTTCCGAGGCCTCCAACAGCTACGCCGTAGGGGCAATCTATGTCACGCTCTGACATTCCGCGGATGATTGGCGGTTCACCTTGCCAAGAGGCAAATGTAGGATCGGTGGAGACATCGCTTGATCCCGCCGAGGTGAGTTTCCGCCCTTCCTTCTCCTGGTATTCGAGCCCTTTGGACCAGCCCATGCGGAATGCACTCATTAACCCAACAAGGACCAATAGAACCCCAAGACCTGCGGCAACGGCGATGGCCGCTGTCAGGTTTGCCTCTAGCAGATGATTACGATCTCCAGGCCCGTCATTTCCGCCGGAGGAAGAATCGGTTGAGTTGTTGCTGCGAGGTAGAATGGAGCGCGGTGAGAGGGATGATAAGTTGGGAACGCTGTTCCTGTAACATGTTAGTGATGTGCAAACTATGAAGTCTTAATATAACATACGCAAGGGATGCGGCAGAAGGATCTACTAGTGATACCGGATGACCAGAGACTAGAAGGATGTTGCAACAAGACAGAGCAAAATGCAGTAGAGATCTAAAGTTGGCTGGCATCGTGGGCGGTGTTGTCTAAGGTCAAAGAGTGGATGGTGTATTTTGGGTATGGATCAAAATACTATGCGGTGAGAATGTGTAGCTGTAGCCACAACGCCCGGCTTCCTCAAGAAAGAGAGTGATGAAGCATCAAGGCGGTGATGATGGCGGGGGGTTCACCTCGGCCTTAGGTGGAGGGGGCTATCGAGTGTATATATACCAACCATCCGTGGGTGTAATAGTGATGTAGTAGGTTTAGCTTCGTGAGATTTCTCCTTTTACATGTCATTACCAGAGCGAAGCTAGATGGAAAAAAGCATAGTTTTATTATCATCCTGGGATCATATGTACCTCTCCCGAAGCAGGAAAACAAACTCTTGGTGACTATAAGTTGCTCCGTAGCCAGGACTGAGTGAAGCCTAAGGATTCTGATTCATCCCGTTTGTGAAGTGGAAAGCCGTCCCATCCCCGCAGCAGGGAGCAAGGAGGGATGTTTTTGGATCGGTTAGTTGTTTCTTCTCGTCGATGGACTGTAGGAGGTTACACCACCTGGCTCGAGCCCTTTCCCCTCGCTGCCGTGCCGCAGGTACGGGTTTTTGGCTCTTGGATAAAACCCCTTCCTGGGTAGGAATATGTATTTGTGTCATTAACTCGAGACGAGCGATTGCAGATTGCAGAGGTCTGCTGCTGCGAATGAGAGAATTAGAAATCGGGGTTTAATTCGCGGCGGACATCTCAGCGCTGAATAAGTGTTTTCTGCGGGCGTTTCTCCGCCGGATGCCGCGACTTGTTGGTCTTAGCGGTTCTGCTCTAAACTGAAAAATGCTAGACTATCGGCACTCATACCGCAGAGAGGCCTCGGCCAGCCACTTAAGTCAATCCAAGCGATCGAGCATCATGTCGAAATTGCCTATCTATTTAAACTAAGCCAAGTTATGGGCTATTCGTAGCAGGAAATATTTATTCGATAATACGAGTTTTAGGTTCTTATGGGCACACGAATACGCACGGACGTTTTGGTATACCGGTAATCTTTTAATCCCCGACACCGGATACAGTCGCACCTCGCTATCCTGGACGACCAAAATCCGAAGAATCCACCTGGTACAGCCGGTGATCCGGGACAACGGGTCAAGTTTTGAGGCGAAATTTTTTTGAATTCACAGCAGTTCATACGGGATAGCGAGGTATCCGTATTATCGAGTTCCACGAGAGCGAGGTTTGGCTGTGCTCGCCCGCGAGGAGTAGACTAGATATTCAACTTTGCAAGTAGGGTATGGTGTCGGTACTATATAGGCAATAGATATTGTTGCTTTAATTTTGATGGGTCAACCGAGGCCCGAGTATGCAACCCCCTGTCTCCAGATTGGTAAAGTAGAGTTGAAGGAACAACAGGAGTGGTGCGGGGTGGGGTGAGTGACTACTGATGCGCACTAGGTGGGTCGGCCCCCAGCCCACAAAATTCCCCGCATATCCGGGGTCAAATCACATACCGGTAGTGGGACACAAGAGCGACTTAACGCGACCAACACTCCTACCGTATTATCTTGAATAAGAGGGGAACACAGCAAGGAGAAGCCACCCTTTTGAAGAAACTACTCTAGGCAAAAAATCTCGCCCCGGAGCTATACTATTGGAACTATTGCATGGGATCAACTTGCCTTCTGCTCCATCGTAAGACTATGTGGAAGGATCCGAGAAATAGGTTGAGAGGGAGGGAAAAAGGGGGTATAGTCGGTTGCTATATTTTGAGAATTTTTGCTATCAGAGACCTTTTCTCCGGGTATTGGCCCGCTGTCACTGAGGTTATACAGTGCTGTATTATACGTATTGGGTGGTTGGCTATATCAAGAACTCCAATAAGATTTTCAAGCAACTTCGTCCCATTACTTAGTTCATGTCAAAAATTGTAGGAAAAGGTTGGAAAAGGATCAATAGACTTCAATTAATTCCTGGACTTATTTATCAGGTAGAGGCTAGCCCTTCTGAAATTTCATACTCAGCTCAAATACTTGTATAGTGATAAGTTTAGTTTTGTAATAATACTAAGTAACTATCTTAGTTCTTGCTACTAAAAGGACAGGCCATGACCAAAAGCTTATTGTATAACATACCTGATAGCTTGTTATTGCATCCTGCTAATCCAGGAAAATAACACTGTATCATACTTGTTTTGATTTTTTACAAACTAGTTACTATCCACTAGTTATCAAGCCTTCGTTTTACTCTACCTTTAACGTTTTAAACAGCTCTGGGACCAGTTTTCAATCGCCTATCTTGTATGGGTAATATCTATGTGTTATCTTTTTCTCTCTAAAGTCTTTGAATTTATTGTAATGGCATTTCAGCTACTATCTCATCTGTTCATAGGATCTTAGTTTCTTCAATACAAGTAGTTATAATAGACAATGGAGGTTACACTTGATAGTGGATTTTGGGGCAGGTTTTCTTTTTTTGTCTATCATATCATATCATATTCTAATTATTTTGGGTTTATATGTATTTTATATCTACAATTTCCAGAATTTTCTTTGCAGATTCGCAAGGTATGTCTTGACATGTCTTCAAGTTTCTCACCCTGCAATTCCCCTGCAATTCCCCTGCACCCAACTGCGTACACTGCCATTGTCTTCCAGGTTCTTATGGCCTGGGACAAGTTGTGAGATTAGAAACCAGGAAACCCGGGAGGTGATGAAAATGGAGACAGATAAATCAACTTTTTGTAGTGGAATCTATCACCTCAAAAAATCCTATAATCTCGAGAAATAAGGTCCTAAGCAAATAAGACACTACAAGCCAATCCATATTCTCAGCCTTTCGGTGCATTCCCTTGTTCCGTCGACACCTCAGGCTTACTGGAATTTTGGGAATATCCGGATAATTATTCTCTCCAGGGGTATCGCAGTCGTACTCAGTTGCTCTAGAGGTGTGAAATTTTTGCTTGAGGCAAGGTATCGAGCACGTTTGAGTCACGAAAAGTATTTTCATACTTCCTATGGAAATTATCAATACCAAACACCTTAAGACTGTCCTAGCAAACCTCACGGGTAGTGCTCTTCAGCTCTTCAGATCTGCTGGTGACTGCGGTCTAACAGTATCTCTCTTCCACTATCAGCTCAGTGGGTCTCATGGTAGCTAGATAATGGTGGGGGAGGGTATGGGCACCTCGTTGCCCGACATTCACTCCAACTGTTCCTGAGCATGGAAACTATGCACAGTACACCTCATTGTTCACTGATCGACTGCCGGACGCGATGCTGTAAAGCAGAGTTCGGTTTCAAATATCTAATCCTACTCGAGCACGGTGCGGCATGCACTGGCAACTTACAGTAGGTCAGTCCATGGTGTGGCTAGTAGAGCAGCTACGGTAACCCTCCATCGGTATATTTTTTTCGCGTATTAGCTCTCCTACTCAAATGTGTGGTTGGCCTCAGGACCATCTGCAGTCCTGGGATAATAGGACCGGAACTAGCAATTAGGTGATGGTTGGGTTTTCATCGCTAATAGAGTTGTAAGCGCTTATATACTGCAATTTCGTATGATAACATAGTGGCCGGTGACAAACTAGCACTATAATAGCAAGTGGGTGTCCACATTGGGGTGGGTGGCAAGGGAGAACAGTCTTGCCCTGGTTTCCTCGGCCGGATCCCGTCCCCCGCGGCCAATTATCAGTCCCTTCGTACGAGTAGAAGTGGGGTTCACTCTAGGTTTAATGTGTGGCGATTTAGGGGCGTTCGCACCCTCCCGTTGGCTTGGTTGCTCTTAGATTTAGACACGGTACCCTAGGCTACCGGCCTCACGCTTGGGAAGGGTCACCAATTTAGCGGCTATATCATTCAGCTACGGGATTTTCGGGTCCCTGATTCCTCCTGGGGGCACTACAGGCAGCACACTAACACCGTTACTCAAGTACTTGAAAGGGAAAGGCGGGAGCAGCAAACCGGGTGCCTACCGCTACTAACAACCCTCCAGAAACAGAAATCTCAATTATGATATCGGGGAGTTGAGATTCAGTTTCCTTAGTCCTACTTACATTTATCCCCACGCGGGGGCGGCACAGCTTCTAGCAGAAAGGATCTGAAAATCAGCCGCGGGGTTTTAGAGTTTTGATTGGAGCGTTTGGTACGATAGCTCGAGCCAATCGATGTCCGTGTTTCTAGCCCCTCCCACTGGCTTTATCTATCATGGGGTGGAGGTGTGCTGCGGCTGTACTTCCATGATATGCCCCGGATTTCCGCTAGAACTTGGGGATGAAGCCACTTGTCTCGGGCCACACCGTGATTACTTTTTTACGGCCACCTCCCCGGGTATGTACTAGTAATAACGTTAGCGGTAACTTACCGATGAAATGAGGGGTTATAAACTATCCTCCTGGTCCTGGAGATTGTCGCAGTGTGATTCTTAGTGCGGTTGTCGTAACTGCAGCTTCAATGTGCTTCCCCCGCCTTTTTAGTGTTTACAAGCTTGATAACTACGCGAGGCGTTCTGGGGCATGACTACCCTATAGCATTGGCATCCCCAGATATTCTCTATCAATCTGCCCATTCTATAACAATCAAGCCCAGGAACAAGGGCTGGGAGCGGGGGAAGGGCAGCCAAAAAACCTCCAAAAATTGCTGGGGTTCTCAATCTAGTAAATGCTAAAAAAAAGAGAGAAGTCTGGAAATTTTACGACTTAAGAATGATGAGAAACCTAATAGCACGGGTCCTTCGGTTTGGTCTCTCATTTCTTAGCCATTCACTAGACATGAGAAGATCCCTAGCATCAGCCTTGCAGCCAAAACAACCTCGGGATATTCTCTTCTACCCTACTGGGGGGGGGGGGGGCGCTAGGTGGTTTGGAGAACGAGAAGTGACCTTCTAGGCTCTGGAAAATTTTCTCCTGTCAAAGATCGGATCGAAAAGGCGCCTCATCAACACCACTAGAGCCATGGCGCTCGCACACTACCCCCCACATAATACGTCATTTCTAGGCAATGGATGAACACTATGCACCATGCAGCCACCTGTTGCGGGCATGC